TTCCCACAAAAAGATCCACACAGGGGAGAAGCCATATAAATGCATGGTGTGTGGAAAGATCTTTGCTCAAAGCCATTATCTTGCTTCCCATAAAAAGATGCACACAGGAGAAAAACCATATAAATGCATGGAGTGTGGAAAGAACTTTGCTGCCAGGAGTGGACTTACTATCCACATAAGGATCCATACAGGGGAGAAGCCATTTAAATGCATGGAGTGTGGAAAGAACTTTGCTCAAATAGGTACTCTTATTTCGCATAAGATGATTCACACCGGGGAGAAATCATACAAATGCACTGAGTGTGGAAAGATCTTTGCTCACAGCAGTGTACTTCGTTCCCACAAAAATATACACACAGGAGAGAAACCATATAAATGCATGGAATGTGGAAAGACCTTTGCTCAGAGCAGTGGACTTCGTTCCCACAAACAAATGCACACAGGAGAAAAACCATACAAATGCACAGAGTGTGGAAAGACATTTGCTCGTAGAAGTAGTCTTATTTCCCATAAAAGGGTCCACTCAGGAGAGAAACCATATAAATGCATGGAGTGTGGAAAGACCTTTGCTCAGGCCACAGGTCTCAGAAACCACAAAATGATCCACACAGGGGAAAAACCATTTAAATGCATGGAGTGTGGAAAGACATTTGCTCAAAGAGGTAGTCTTATTTCCCATAAGATGATCCACACAGGGGAGAAGCCGTATAAATGCATGGAGTGTGGAAAGACATTTGCTCAAAGAGGTACTCTTATTTCCCATAAGATGATTCACACCGTAGAGAAACCATATAAATGCACTGAGTGTGGAAAGACCTTTGCTCACAGCAGTGTACTTCGTTCCCACAAAAAGATACACACAGGAGAGAAACCATATAAATGCATGGAGTGTGGAAAGAACTTTGCTGCCAGGAGTGGACTTACTATCCACAAAATGATCCACACAGGGGAAAAGCCATTTAAATGCATGGAGTGTGGAAAGACATTTGCTCAACGTGGTCATCTTATTTCCCATAAGATGATCCACACAGGGGAGAAACCATATAAATGTACAGAGTGTGGAAAGACCTTTGTTCAACAACGTA